TAATGTCATGATTCATGAAAACAGCTAAAAATTACAAAATATGTGGTGAAGCTAGTCATAGCAAGTTAGCAACTGATACTGTGAAGATTTAGGAAACAATGCAGTTCTATACACACTATGCATAATGCCTCAAATTATACAATTTGGCATCTGGCTACCAGCCTTGTTTTGATGCAACTTGTTTCCAGGTCACGAGTTATTGTGCATATCATGTATGTATTGTAGAATATAGAATAAAACACTTTTCTAGGCCTGCTACTTCAAGTACTGCATACTTGCTTTGCATAATGCACAAACAAAGCAAAATACATAGTGTGTATACAATATCCAGATTTTTCCTTAACTCGTCTTATCTCGCCTTAACTCGCAAGGGTGAGTAGCCAGATTTTTCCTTAACTCGCTCTATCTCGCCTTAACTCGCATAGGCTCGCCTTATCTCGCGGCGAATTAAGGTCCCAGAGCAGGCCTATAAAAGATCTTAAAAATACATATTATATGTTACTACTTTGCAATGCAACACTTGTCCTACCCTAACCCAAGAACTTGTCTGAGGGATGGGCATCTACAAAAATGTGGAGAGATGCCAAATGGTTGTTGGTGATAAAGAGTTTAGTGTGGTATCTATAGTGGTATCGTATGTATTAGTAGGGGGGCCTTCGGGTACTCTCCCCTAGAAGTTTTTTTCATTTTTCCACTCCTAGGAAATGTGAGCATTTTCTGATGAAACAGATTTTTGGATATACAGCATTACATTGTGCTTTAATAGACCAAATCTGATCATTTAAGTGTACTTGCATGGTATGTTTATGCAAATACCACAACCGGGAGTAAGCCCGACTCCGGGAAATTTTGAGTCTCTAGCTACATCGTTGGAAATGGCATTTTCAGAGTTTTCTTTTGTGATTATAGAAATCAGAACTCTAGACATGATATTTAAGTTCAAAAACTATTTATGAGGGTAAAACTTCGTTTCCTCCCACCCCCTCCAATTTACCAACCCCCCTCCCCATAAATAATAACCACTCCCTTATATCGTTTTTTTTGTGGGTTTTTTTTTTCATTTTGACCGGACTAAGAGTTTGTGGCTAATCTTACATAAATCAACTCACAAGAACGTCAAGGCGACGAAATAAGTGACGAAGATGAATCCATTAGCTAAATGACGAAGCCGAAGGTCTTGAAGCACAGTCTAGCGAAGATAAAATGGCGGGGATACTACAAGGACTTCAATCAATTCTGAAGGAACTCACGCAGGCGACCAGTTCTCAGACAGTAATGTTGAGTAGTATCAGAGAAGACCTCCTGCTTCAACCTGATGCAACAGATCAGGACGAGCGAAGCGGCAACGGCACAGAAAGCGACCTAAATGTCAGCTCAATTGTTGCTAACTTGGTCGGCTGGAGCACAGAGCACGAGACCCCAAAGTCTAGCCCCGACGCAGCGGTAGACGATGACGTAATTGATAGCCTGACTCGGGCTTACTTAGCGAATCCGAAACAGTCCCCACCTGTGGAAACTAAAATTGCCTCCTTTATTGAACAAGTCTTAAGAGGAGAACTCTCCAGCGACATGCTGAAAGAGACGGGAGAGAAATACCCACCACCAGATAATTGCCAACACCTGACAACCGTAATGGTTAATGAGGAAATATGCATGGGACTTGTTGATGGGGCCGAGAAGGCAAAATAACCACAGAAAGATGGGGCCGAGAAGGCAGAACAACCACAACAACAAATCCCAGTAACCCAAGAGGTAATATTTAACTATTCTAGCACTAATGATTTGGCTAATATATCAACTAGTGCATTACACAAATCGTGCATGTCCTTACAAGCTGGTCAAGTGAGACACTTTATACAGAATTGGGCCATACTGACTAGTGACCCATTAAAGTATTATCACATTGTAAAGCATTATCACATTGAATTTGAGGGGGATTTCCCTGTACAAACACAAATGCCTTACCAAATCAGATTTTCTGTAGAGGAAACACAAATAATAGATTCAGAAATCTTGAAATATTTGTGAAAACTTGTTATTGAACCTGCTTGTGTGACTCCAGAAAGTTTGTATCCACTATTTTCATCAACCTGTTTCACAGGGTCTCACCTCCGCCAGGTGGTGAGTGGAGGTGAGACACTGGGAACGAAGTTGCATTTTTATTCGGCCTAAAAAGGATGGTTCACACAGGATGATACTGAACCCCAAACCATTCAATGAGTTTGTGGATTACAACCATTTTAAAATGGATACATTTGAAATTGCCATCAATTGACCTTAAGGTGGCTCCCTACAGTTTTGATTGTACAGCACACAATTGAATTCAAAAAAACATTATTTTATTATCTTGCAAAGTATGATCACGAAACTTGGTCACATAACTGCTACAATATCGCGAATTACGAAAAATAAAAAATGTCGTTAATATTCCCCGTTGCCATGGCAACAAAGCGATTTTAAAAAGGACCAATTTGCAGATTCTTTGATAATTTTTTGAAAATTTCTTCCGTAAAACGTTTTAATTTTTTGCGCACAGTAATCTTATATATAATTCCTTCAACTGATAGCAATTAAAAAAAATCGTACGAGAATTTTCTTTTTAATCCTCAAAAAGCCCTGTTTTGGAATAAAAAAAATTCGGCTCGTACGATTTTCTTAAAACTTGCACATTTTACGCACTTCAACATTACAGGAAAGTGTGTGAAGTTTTAAAACATTTTACCGAAGGAAACACAAGGAAAATACATTTATTTTTATCTATGTGACGTCACAAAAATCAGGATTTCAATTTCCTCGCGCGACCAGCCGACAATCCCACGAAGGCTCGCGCGTGTATATCACGACGCAATTTTAAAATACCCGCCCGACGTGCAACGTCGACCACGCTTGTTGCGTGTGGCACTACTAATCTCGCGCGTGGACAAAATTTCCGCGACAAAGACCTAAAACTGTAGGAAGCCACCTTAAGGATGCCTAATATTCCATATCAGTTGCGGATGAGGATAGGAAATTCCTTATGTTCGAATGGGAAGGACTTTTTTACCAATTCACTTGTCTCCCTAATGGGCTTTCTTGTGCCCCTAGGGTTTTTACAATAATCTTAAAGGCTGTGTACTCTCATTTGAGAGGTTTAAGACACACTTGTATGGGTCACATTGATGATTCCGTATTGCTAGGCTACGACCATGAAGCTTGTAAAAACAATATTGTAGATTGTACAAACTTGTTCCAACAATTGGGGTTTGTCATACTCGCTGAGAAATCAGTTTTGCATCCAGTACAAGCTATTGAATTTCTTGGATTTGTAATTAATAGCCTGTCAATGACAGTGAGGGTTATACCCAGGAAAATCACCAAGGTCAAATCCTTTTGCTATAGCTTATTAAATAAACATAAACCTACTATAAGAGAGGTTGCTCAGGTAATAGGCCTACTGGTCTCCAGTCTTCCAGCAGTACAGTTCTGGCCTCTGCATTATAGAAACCTAGAAGGGGATAAAATTTTGGCGCTATGGTTGGTCCAACCGGTCCAAAACTCCAAGGCCAAAGTATCAAACTACTTGGGATGTACAACCAGTACTAACATACCTACAGTATCTTCTCTTGGAACTGCTAACGACCTGGATCTCAAGACCCTTTCATTGAAATTGCTTATGTTGTTTGCTCTGGTTTCTGCCCAAAGAGGGCAAAGCCTACACATGCTTGACATAACACTTATGAAACAGGATGAATCCTCATTTGAGTTTTTGTTACCAGAACATGTGAAGCAAAGTCGACCAGGGTACACCTTCAATTGTTCTGCATGCTTTTCCTGCTGATGATCGAAACATTGTGTGTTTTTAATCATATGCGAACATACATAAATGGGAAATCTTCTCGGCCTCAGAACTTCAAAGACTTTACATATAAAAATTTGGCGGCCTTTGCGCTGTTTATTCCCTGTCTATGCCTATGGCGCTGTGAAATCCAGGCTGGCTTGTTTTGCTGGGCCAGTTTCTTGCTTGCTTCATGTACTGTTTGAAGTGGGCTAACTCCACAGGTGCTTGGTAAAATCTTCTTCTTGGTAAAATATTGACAGGGAAACGAAAACTTTATTTTGTCCTTGGCAACAGTTTCAGGACACGAAATCGAAACTTGGCTTTATAGGTTGATTGCACGTTACGTCACGCTGGCCATGTTGGTGGTATTTCAACAAACGAATCTCGTTATTTTTTCTTGAATTTGTTACCAAGATGGCGCCGTTTTATTGTCTTTAATTTCCCAAGAGATTGGTTGCAGTCAATCTATTGTATATTCATACCATCACGAGTATGCCAAAAAAAAACTCAAAGAGTGACTGTTAGGCCTGTTTCAAACGTCGCGCTTCTCATGTGCCAAACGATTAAAAACAATACAGGGTGTATAAAAAAACTGAACCAATTCAAATTCAAATAGCTATAACGTATTGTAGTAATTTGACAGCTCTAATTGCCTTGAATTAATGGTTGGGTAAGAACACAAGGAATACTGTATTTCTTTTAAATTTTCTAATTTTTATTTCTTTGAGTTTTGTCCCATGAGTACAAGATCTAGTTTTCTTATCCAACCATTAATTTAAAGCAATTAGAGCTGTCAAATTACTACAATACATTATAGCTAATTTGAACTGAAAGGGTTCAGCTTTTTTTTATACACCCTATAGATATAATCAGCTGAAATGCCTCATTGTCTATTGTTTTTAATGCTTTCGGCACATGAGAAGCGCGACGTTTGAAAAAAGCCTAGTGACTCAAAGAGTGGCGTAGAGAACAATGGGATTTAAAAAAAAACATTCTGGTCATTGGATTGTGGCTGGATTACATTGTTAGAGTAAATTATGTAAAAGGCTGTTTCGTTGCACAAACAACTTAAACGTTTCAATTATCATTTGCATTTCTAGTCATTAATCCTTGGTACTGCATCAAGGAATCTGTCTCGATATTCTTCAACAAAACGCCGTACATTGAAACGAAATCGCTCATCACGTCGAATTCTTTCATTTTATCCTTCCAAACATGTGTTGGGGAACGTTTACCACGACAATATATGACTCGAACAGCGATTATTCTAAATTACTATCTCTTACGCCTGGGATATTTATAGTTAGTACGCTTCAAAAATTTATACGCTAAGCACGTTGACATTAAAATGGAGAATAGCCAGCTTAGAAAAATCTGTAAGCGTTGGGCAAGATTTGGACACAAATTGACCATATCATGCGGTTCTTCCACCAGGAACGGAAAAGTTAATACAACGGTATCTATATTAACCTGACTTCGCTTGCAAGAACTGGATTTTTAAGCAAAGTTTCTCTGTTCCTGTATATATTTCTAATACAGTATTGGATATGGTCACTTATGGCAATTTGGTATTTAGACATGGTTTTATTGGCTGTGTTTTGGTTGGAAGTGTGCTTATGACCAGGAGTGCAATTCAAAATGTGTCTGCCTCGAAAATACGTCGTCCTGTTGAAAATATGCAGGCGGTCAGGTAAGAACGTGCATTTGATACCTATTGTAAGTCAAAATACATTTTGATCTTGCATGGTAGTGTCACAATATAAATTTGTGACCATGCATTCTTCAGCATATAACCTGACGTCGAATTTTCCAGTCAAATTCTTTAAACCTACTCAAGCTAAGTCTTTTATTCGAGAAAAATGATGTTGCATGCATATATGGGGTTTTCATACAGCACATTATATGTGCAATGTTGTCAAAGTATTCGACGGGTTTCGTCGCATAGTAGTGACAAAATTAAAATTGCGTCGAGTAAAATTCGGAAGCATTAAAGTTAAACCCAACAAACTAAATTCAACGGAAATTCAACGTCTAAAATATAACCTCGCCTCCTCCGCAGGCCTCTCTATGGATTCTAGCCTGCGAATGGGTTTGAAAAAATAATTTTCTGATTCGTCTGGTGAGATGCCTGCGGAGGAGGCTAAATATAACCTTATTAGGCTTAACTGTTTTGGAAAACAATGGCCAATGCATGCTTTCAGTAGTAAAACTGAATAAAAAAAGATTTACTGGACCTATTGGGAGAACAGTGGAAAATTCATTGAATAATCGAGTAGCAGGGAGGTTAGTTTAGGTTAGGTTTCCTCCTGCTGTAACTCTAGACTGAACAATAAGTCTGGCCCTAACTGCACATTTAGCGACACATAACATTTTGTAGATACACAGTGTGACGTCGAAATTTATTTGTTAGTTTTAGGTCATAAAAAGAAGAAAACGAATTAAACAGGTATATAAATAGTTTGTTTTTTATTCCCCCAAACATTTGAAAAACTGAAAAAGTTGAAATTTAACAAATATCGCGCGTACATGATTTACACAAATAAGTAAATGTTATATCATGGTTAGCTTAATAATTTAAGTCACATGCTGAATGGTGATTGGCAAGTTTGTTTGACATTGCTTCTTTCCTCCATTGCAAAAGACATGTGCTTCTTTCCTCCATGCAGTAGATTATGGCTTTCGACCAATGGAAAGATATGATTGGACAAGACTGCAAAGAAAGGTATTTCTGTTTACACGTTGTCCACAATAAATTTTGCCAGGATTCTATAATTGTTTATCGTTACTTATAATGCAGCGGATTAAACGATAAATAAATAAAAGTCTATTTCGGCACATGACCGTATTGAAGAAACTGTCAAAGTAATTGTAGTTTAAAGTGACGCTACGAAATTTTACACTATTACGCCGCCGAGAGAATTCGGGGGGTCAGGGGCAAGTCTTCTCTGGGGGCCTTATGACATCATTATTTTTAAGCTAGACCCAAGTCAGTCACCCAACTAGACCTTAACTAGATTGCATGTGGAGCTACTTACTGAAGGGCCCTCAATTTAAAAATGATCCGAACAATTTAAAGAACCCACTGAATTTTAGGCTCTTGCTTTTAAGTTGGGGCCTTATTAAGGTGGGGGTCCATATTCCACCCCTCTCTCTTGGCGGCCCTGTATATGTCAACATACCACACATATGTTGCAAGTCGTCAAATTTAAATCGGAAATCTATAATAGTTCTAAACGGGTTTTTTTACAAAGCATCGTGCAACTATATGTGCATGATGTATATTCTCAACAATGAAACAGAGACAAATTTTGTCTGTTCAGAAAGTACAGTAGAAAGAGTAGATCAGTTTTAATGTGATTTTAGTAAAATGTTGTTATTGTGTCCTAAATTGCATAACTAAGTCTAAGTAATTATAGTGGCTAATGACGTTACATAATTATTGTTGATTACATTAATTAACAATATAAACATTGTCCTGACTGAAGTTAGTGAAATAATTATCACTTATTTACTGAGACCGGGGGAAACAGTGTGTTTTGTGGACCCGAATCCGTCGAACCTTCGACGGTCGAGGGTCCACAAAACACACTGCTTTCCCGAGGTCTCAGTAAATCAGTGTTTTATTATATATCAGTAGTCAAAGAAACAACAAATCAAAGAACAAATGAACGTAAATACATGAAATATTTTATTGTTAAAACGTTACATTAAACACGGGCTACACTGCAGTTACTTAAAGCAAAAGTTTTAATTACATACCATTAGGCATGTCCAAAGGTCGCATCTTCACGTGATGGCGCACGTGATTTTTTTGTTATTTGCCGGTCGATAACGTATTATCTCCCTCCCCCGCTGTTGCGAGGGAGACAGCCTAATTTCGTCACTCTCACGTGATATGCTCTCAACCAATAAAGCACTAGAAAAATGCGACTTTGACTATTGATATATAATAGTGTCAGTTATAGCAGATAAATTAAGATAAACATCATTTATATAATGATTGACACTATAGTAACACTAAAGCCACTTCTCAGAGGAATCGATATCCCATAGCACTGATGAGTAAATGTCTTGCGCTCGATAAAAATGCGTTTAAATATTGTTCATCAGTCAAATGGCAAAGATTGTGAAACTGACGAAAAATATCGGTGAATTTTTAGACCACTCGACATAAAAATAGAAGAGATGTCCGGTATATTCCAGCCTATATAGTAACGATGTTTTTCTGATGCATCTGGGTTGTTTGCAACATTGTTGAGCCCAATACATTTCATGTTACAGTTCGTCATGACTGGGTTACATGAATTCTAAAAACTACGACTGGATAGAGTATTCTTTTGAATTCACTGAGTCAATTTTGAAGCCAGAATAATTTCAGTGAGAAACTAAAATTACTAAAATCGAATCGTTACGTGTTCAAATTGGTTTTAATTAATATATGAAGCAGATACCGTGTGCAATATGATTTTAGAGATATACTGTACCTTGCCGTACTTTTTATCAAGAGTTTTAGAAAATTTTAAACACTACTGAGTTCACGAGACTCGTGGCAGCCATATTGATTGTCATTATTAGTTATTCAAATTTGAAAAAGAAAGAGAGGTCACTGTTGGCCAAAATCTATTAATACAACATTTCTCCTTTCACACCAATAACTATAGAAAATGTTGGGAGCTCTTCTAACATGTCAACAGCCCCGTTTACACTACGCTCAAATTTTGGTACAGCACGGATAAAATTGGTACCCGTACCACTTTTTTGGTTCTTGGACTACCTATTTAGGTAGTCTAAAGCCCCATTTACACTACACTCAATTTTTGGTACCGTACCACTTTTTGGTTCTTGGACTACTTAAATAGGTAGTCCAAGGTTATTTACCATTTACATGTAAAACCCATCCGGTTTGAAATTGTGCTAATGGTAAGCAAAATTTCGGATAGAAAATCCCATTCGGATTATTCGCTTTCCATTTAATAATTTCAATTGTTAAATCGCGAAGAGCCTGGAACTAGTGAAAAAATTTTAAAAATGTAAATGGAACAACATTTACCGGTTGAAACTTTCCAATCGGTAAGAGAGGACAACCTTTTCAAACAAACCGTTTAATCCGGAAAATTTCCGGTTGGGCCGTCGAAATAAACAACCCAAGAACCAAAAAAGTGGTACGGGTACAAATTATTTTATCCGTGCCGTACCAAAAATTGAGCGTTCTGTAAACGGGGCTTAGCTAAATAGGTAGTCCAAGAACCAAAAAAAGTGGTATACGGGTACCAATTTTATCCGTGCCGTACTGCCGTACCAAAATTTGATCGTAGTGTAAACGGGGCTAACAGCATCACAAGCACACCAGATTTTTGGTGGTCACAACAATATGGCTGCCATTGCGTTCATTTATGCACAGCAGATGCACTCAGTCCAGCTCAGTTTTTAGATCAGTAGTTTTTTTCCGTCCGAAACAACTATTAATTCTTAGATTAGTTTATACGCTCACAAACCAAATATTGTATCTTATATGAAGTACTCCTTAAGGTCAGGTCGTTCTTTCCAATCACATGACCTGATAATTCTGTGAACCTCGACAGGAAGGTTGGGGAAGAGGTTAAGAAAGTACTCTTCGGGATCGTCCACTACATAGAATAGTTCGGGTCGTGGCCTTGGACGGTCCTGCCAGTGTTCCTTGACATTTCGGATAAGTCGCAAACAGTCCGTCCACGACGGCCTATAATGAAATGTTTTCCCCTTCAAGGGATCAGTGCTTAAATACTGCAGAACATCGGCATTCATCTGAGATCTCCAATCTTTGGGATCGCTGTTCAACAATCGCACGACATCTGATTTCAAATTCCCTGTCTTGATCTCAGGTTGGTTTCCCATTTTGCACAACATTTCAAACTGCTGTTCCGCGGGCTGAAGATAAGGGTGTTTCAGTGCTTCTTCAGCCGACGGTCTATCTTTGGGGTCGTGGCTTAGCATTCAGGATAATAAATCCTTTAAGACCCGATCTTTCAACGCCTTCAAACCAACCGGCCTGCCATCAAGTAAGTTGCGAAGTCGATCTGGTTTTGCTCCAAA